GGTCAGAGGGAGAAGCAGACTCCCTGCCGAGCAGGGAGCCCGATGCGGGACTCGATCCCGGGACTCCAGGATCATGACCTGAGCCCAAGGCAGTCGCTTAACCAACTGAGCCACCCAGGCGCCCACCTCGATCTCTTTCTAACCATATTAAATAGTTGACCTATTTTATGAATCCTCTGTGTCTGCGCTCCCTACCCCATAAAAGGAAACTCTTAGAGATTAGGTATTTTGTCTGGTTTCTTCCTGCCCACCCCCGCCAAGATATCCCATGGCGCATAGTAGGAGTTCAGTTTACGTTTGTCAGTGAACATTCCTCGTCCTCCGCCCGCAGGTGCCGCCAGCGTGGCCAGGGCCTGGAGCTCCGCCTTCGACGACTTGACTGGGAACCAGGTCTCTCGGCTCCTGAAGGGAGGTTTCTCTCTGCGCGTCCCCCTCGTGCTGGCCACACACCTGGACTTCTTCGCGCTGGGCCTGGTGTTGCTGCTCACTGGTGAGGCCCGCGTCGTCTAGGATGGGAAGAGCGGGGTGCGGAGGGGGAGCTGTGCACAGAATGGGGGACAGCCCTGGGAGGGAGGGTCTGCGCTGAGAAACGGGAAGGCCAGTCTTAGACCACTGCTTCTGTCCCTGGGCGTCACTGACATTTTGGGCTGGATCAGTGTCTTTGGTGTGGAGGGCTGTCCCGTGCATTACTGGTGTGTGTGTACGTGTGTGTGTGTTTTAATCATTGCTGCATGTTGAGTAGTGTCCCTGGCCTCTACTCCCTAGATGCCGATGGTACCCACCCCCCAAACTGTGACAGTCAGAATGTCTCCAGACATTGCCAGATGGCCCTTGGGTAACAAAGTCACCCCCAGCTGAGAATCATTCACTTAGACTGACACGTCTTCCTTTGTACTGAGACCAAAGGTTTTTTCAATTGAGGTAAAATTCACATAACATCCAATTAGCCACTTCATTTTATTATTCCCAGCTTTACTGAGATTTAATTGACATACAGCCTTGTGCAAGTTCAAGGTGTACAGCATGATGCTTTGGTGCGCTTGTATATCACAGGCTGATTACCACAATAAGAAATTAACCATCTTGGAGGGCATGTTGTTCCAAACCCCAAAAGGACCAGTACCCCCAAGAAGGAACCCTCATACCTACTAAGCAGGCACTGCCCATCCCCTGTCCCCCCAGCCCCTGGCGACCACCGGTCTGCTTTCTGTCCGTAGGGGTTGAGTTATTTTGCGTATTTCGTATTCCATCTTTCCCACAGGACTCCTGGTCCTGGGAGCTAGTGAGTCGGCCCTGGTTACCAAGGTGTTCACGGGCGTGAACCTTTTGGTTCTTAGCTTCGTCATCCTCTCTGGCTTCATGAAGGGAGATCTGCACCCCTCGCAGCTCACTGAACAGGACTACAAACTGGCCATCTCTGCATCCAATGACACTTCTAGATTAGGCGGGCACTCTTGGCCACAGTAGAGAGTGGGGGGGGTACAGCTGGGAACGTGGTGGGGAATAAAGAGGACTGTGGTGGGCCGGTGGATCCAGATGATGAGCAAGGGGAATGGAGCCCAGGACTTACGGGACTGACGGAACCGTCAGTAGAGATGGCTGAACACTCGCCCCCGTGTCCTTCCTTGTTCCTTCTCACCACAGCTTGGGCCCTCTGGGCTCTGGAGGGTTTATGCCTTTTGGCTTTGAGGGGATTCTCCATGGAGCCGCGATGTGTTTCTACGCATTCATTGATTTTGATTGCATACCGCTACAGGTAACAAGGTCACTCTGCCCATCAGGGCGGACGGTTGGTAGGCGGGGTAGCCTGCTTCTGAAGGTGGACGAGGGACGAGGATTTCGTGCCTTCACCTCAGTGTTTTCCTGACCCAGTACATCCACCCATCCTGCAGGGGAAGAAGCCCGTAATCCTCAGCGTTCCATCCCCTTAAGCATCATAATCTCACTCTTCATCTGCTTTTTGGTGTCTCGGCTGCACTTACCCTCATGATGCCCTACTACCAGATTCATCCCAGCAGCCCCTTGCCACAGGCGTTTCTCCATGTGGGATGGGTCCCTGCCAGATACACCGTGGCTACTGGAACCCTCTGTGCTCTTTCATCCAGGTTAGTGTCTGCCTTCTCCCTGTCTGGGAGATTCTCAGGTATCCCAGCCCTTGGGATTGAGAGACGAGAGGGAGAGACACCTGACCTCACGCCGGCTGGGGTCTGTCGTGCTCCTCCACGAGCTCACGTACTTTCCCGTTTTCTCCTCCAGCCTCCTGGGTACCATGTTCCCCATGCCTTGAGTGATCTACGCAATGGCAGATGATGGGCTCCTTTTCCGGGGACTTGCCTGGATTCATCCCCGCACACACACCCCCATCGTGGCCACCATAGTGTCTGGAACTTTTGCAGATGAGGAAACAAAACCCATTCCTTCGATCAGTTTCCTTACCTTGGATATTTCCAGTGGTTCTTCATCCCCCTCCCCCACCTCGTTTGTGCCTCATTCTAGCATTCATGGCATTCCTCTTCGAGCTCAGTGATCTTGTGGACCTCATGTCAATTGGGACCCTACTTGCTTACTCCCTGGTGGTCTTTCCCGTTCTTGTTCTCAGGTGAGACTCCACTGCATCTTGACGGGGGGTTCTTGGACTCATGGGGATTGATGAGGAGCTAATCCTCCTCTGCTCCATGCTGCCTCCTAAGTGTCCTATGGCTCTCAGAGCGGGAAAAGGTGGATCGGGCTGCCCGATGTTGGATGAGTAGGGGCTGGTGTTCATATTGCCTAAATACCTCTCATTCAGGTACCAGCCAGATGAGAATTTAAGCAAGAACGAGAGAACAGAGGTGGAAATAAGTGAGATAAAGCCTGCAGCTCAAGCAGGTTCTTCACAGTCTGTACCTGAAGCGGGAACCGCACAGGATCTGCCGAGTCTGCATAACCCGGTCAACACCACCTCGACTCTGAAATCCGGGCGCATTGTCCATACATGTACCTTAGTGCTTGGTGAGCAGTGGGGTTTCGGTCTGTGGCGGGATGGCGTGGGAGTGTGTCTTTGGAGCTGAGGAGGAGGCTCAGAGAGATGGTGACCCTTCTTGATGGGGGCAGTTTTGGGGTGGGGTGTGACCCAAGGTCTTGACATATTTGGCGTCTGGAGTTGGACTTGTTCTCCTGCAACTTGACCCTTGCAGCTCTCCTGCTGACGATCCTGTGCCTGATACTGGCCCAGTGGCCCAGCCATCTGCTGTCCGGAGACCCGGTGTATACCACAGGGGCCGTGTTGCTCCTGATGCTCATTATTGGGCTCACTTTCATCATCTGGAGACAGCCCCAGAACCCCACTCCCCTTCACTTCAAGGTAGGTGACCTTATGTCCCCCAGACTCTCCACCTTGAGTGAATGAACTCTGTATGCTTTGAAGTCTACCACTCTTGGCTGGGTCAGGGAAGAAAATGGTCAGTTGCTGAAACAATGAACTATTTCCTAATCCGCACTCAGTACTTGGTTACTTCCATTAGCCAACACCCACTCCTTCGGGAACACTCAGTGGGCTATGAGTAGGCACCGAAGGCACAGCCTAGGAGTGGAGTCTTCCTTCCCACCCAGGTGGGGTGGGGATCTCCCTTGCAGACATCCGTGCTGTGTCCAGCGATTAACTGACTTTGCCCACAGGTTCCTGCTTTGCCTGTGCTCCCACTGCTGAGCATCTTTGTGAATGTTTACTTGATGATGCAGATGACTGCTGGGTCCTGGGCCCGATTTGGCATTTGGATGGTGATTGGTAAGTGTCTTTCTGGGGAAAAGAGGCTTCTCAAGGGCTGCAACTCAACTCTCCTACTACCTTTCCCCAAAACTGTCTCAGAGACCATAGTAGAAGGCTTGTTGGGTACTTCTAAGTGGGGGGAGTACCTACTTTTCCATCAGTTTGTCTCATTTCTCTACTAGGATTTGCCATATACTTTGGATATGGGATCCGACACAGCTTGGAGAAGGACAGTGATCAACAGCCACCAGTCTCCAGCTCCCACACTCTTGACAAAAACATCCCGAGTGCTGAATTAGCTTAACCACAGGAAATAGATGCTCTGTGGAATCCCTCCATACACTGGAGGTGTCTTGTGGTTCAAGGGAGACTTTGACCCTCTATGGAATGTGAAGGTGGGATGCGTTTAGAGCACTGTATTTATTGCCAGTGGACAAAAATGCCTTTAATCTTGTTTAATTTTTAAGTAAACTTTTAAAAGCATAATATACATAAAATTGCATACTTCATAAATATGCAGCAAGATGAATTTTCACAAGGTACCAGCAATGTAACCAGTAACCAGAGGAAGGAATAAAATATTACCTGCACATAAGAAGTGCCTTCTTGTGCCTATTTCCAGCGAAAACACAGATTGCCACATGGGAAGAAAACGCAGGTTTCACCTCTATGTTGTGTCAAGAATTGTACTTTTTTATTTTTTTAATTAAAAAAATAATCTCTATCCCCAATGCGGGGCTCAAACTCAACCCCCCGCCCCCCGCCCCGAGATCAAGACTCATGTGATCTACTGACTGAGCCAGCCAAGCACCCCTGAAGAATTGTACTTTAAATATTAGGGCCCAAACAGACTGGAAGTAAAAGGAAGGGAAGAGACACATCTTGCAAGTGGTCACAGGAAGCTGGCATAGCTATGTTAATATTAGACAAAAGAGACTCTAAGAAAGAGCGTAATATCAGATGAAGTCGATCATTTCAAAATGTCCAAGAGAACTGGTCATTTTTATTTTCCCGCCAGCTTTATTGAGATATGATTGATTTATAACCTTGTGTAAGTGATCATCTTTCTTTACATTTCTGTGGTACTCTTAGAAGAAGGCCTGTTGTGCACTTCTAAGTGGGGGGAGTACCTACTTTTCCATCAGTTTGTCTCATTTCTCTACTAGGATTTGCCATATACTTTGGATATGGGATCCGACACAGCTTGGAGGACAGTGATCAACAGCCACCAGTCTCCAGCTCCCACACTCTTGACAAAAACATCCCGAGTGCTGAATTAGCTTAACCACAGGAAATAGATGCTCTGTGGAATCCCTCCATACACTGGAGGTGTCTTGTGGTTCAAGGGAGACTTTGAGCCTCTATGGAATGTGAAGGTGGGATGGCTTACACCAGGGAGTAAGCAACCCTACACAGTAGGGTTGATGAGGAAAAGTTGTGAGTTGAAGAAAACAGCATTGCCAGAAATGGGGGCGGTGTGCGAAGTAATGGTGGTTGATCAGTGGGTGCCGTTGGGTGGAACTGAAAGACAAGACAGCAGAACACAACGCTTGAAACTGAGATTCTAGATGCTGCAGGTGTTGGTAATAGCCAAGGCCAGGATTGTCTGTGGGGTGAACAACTCCAGGAGAGTGACGACTGCAGGGGTGGAGGTCAAGAAACTGAGTACCGAAGTTATTCGGTGAATTTGAAAACATAGATGGAGGAGGATTAACAGCGTTAGAAATATTGCCGTTTTGCCAGTCCTAGCGAAACTAGGCAGACTGGCTGGGGTTGAGCCCAGAGTCACTGCGCAGTATTGGTGTGACCTTCAGCAAGTTACGTAACCTTAACTGCATCTCTGTGTCCTCATGGCAAATCGGAAGAACGATACCTACATCAGAGTGTTACTGTAATCGTTGTTGAATGTGAGTTTTATTAAAGACAGGGCTGCAGGGATGAGTAATGTGGATTCTGGGGCCAGCGTGGTACAGAGCAACCCAAGGGTCTTACACGGGAGCTGTGGGTAATGCCCTTGACCTGTAGGTTAAAAACCTGCTCAAGATCACTGCGGGGAGAGCTAGTGATGAGACGTGTGCTGAGCATGTGGCTGGGATTCATCTCTATCAAAGTTTAACACTGTGATGGTACAATTGAAACTTGTATCTGCATTTTTGCTTTCTACAAACGTTCTCTGAAACCTTTTCTTGGGACACCGGCATCTATCTCATATTTATTCAAAAGCCACATTCTCAGTGAAGCCGCCCCTGTATGTCCTGAAAAGATCCCAAATTCCAGACTCCCTCAATCTCCCGCCACATCTACAGCAGTGTGTCTCTTGTTTACCAGCAGGGCCAGAAGCACAAGGCCCTCCTCCGCTCATGCTTTCGGTCTCCCACTGAGGTCCTGCCTGGAGACCTCTCGGTCCAAGCCCAGACTTGTCAAAGTGTGTGTGTGTGTGTGTGTTTTTAAAATGTAGTTGAAAATGTGACATTAGTTTCAGGTGTACAATGTATTGATTCGACAAGTCTATCAAAGTATTTTTCTTGGGGCACCTGGGTGGCTCAGTCGGTTAAGCATCTGCCTTTGGCTCAGGTCATGATCTCAGGGTCCTGGGATCAAGCCCTGCATCAGGCTCCCTGCTCCCTGGGAAGCCTGCTTCTCCCTCTCCCACTCCCCCTGCTTGTGTTCTTGCTCTCGCTATCTCGCTGTCAAATAAATAAAATCTTTAAAAAAAAAAAGTATTTTTCTTGACTAAAAAATTGTTTAAAAAGCTTTTTAGGGGCACCTGGGTGGCTCAGTCAGTTAGGCGTCTGCCTTCAGCTCAGGTCACGATCCCAGAGTCCCGGGATCATCTTCTCCTCCCTCTGCCCTTCACCCAACTCAATCACGCACACGTGTGCTTTCTCTCAAATAAATAAAATCTAAAAAAAAAAAAAGCTTCTTTTAGCCAAATGAAACATACTTCTTGAGCCGATTCCCACTCAGGCTGTGAGTTCCCAACCCTTTCATCTACAATCCAGTTCTGCTCTTCTGACGTAGAAGTTGTAAAGAAGAGTATAGGAGTCCCTTAAGGGCTTCTTAAGACCTAGCACTGGGTTGGGCACTGAGGAGAGCAGTGGTTAGAAACACAGGCTTTGGTGTCCAACTCTGTTTTGGCTCTATTTTAGCTGTAGGACTGTTGGGTAGGTTACTAAACCTTGCTAGAGATTTGCCAGTGTATTTAAATTTATTTGAAATTCACAGTTGGCTAGTTTACTCATTATATAGTAGTTGAAAGGATATGAAGTCTGTCTAGCAAAAGACAGTGCGCAGGTTGTCCTTCCTAGTAACCAGGTATAACCAGATGTGGAAATGTTTGATGGACCTGTCCGTGAGTTTGCCTCATACCAATGCTCCGATGCCCCCTCCCACGATTCTCCAGGGGAAGTCAACGATCAATGTAATTTTCACCAAGGAGACCCTGAGAATAAGAGGAGGTTCTATGGGAAAGTTGATATGTGTAATGCTATAAAATACATTCTTCTAAGTGGAAATGCCGAGTCAAAGCATATACACTTAAAAGTTTTGGCAAATATTGCCAAATCGCAGCAGTAGAGAATAGTGCTCTCCAAACAGATACAAAGAGAGCCACATAGGTGATTTAAAATGTTCTAGTATCATGTAAAAAAAAAAGCAAAAAACAGGTGAAATTAATTTTAGTAATAGATTTTATTTAGCTCAGTATATCCAAAATGTTATTTCAACATATAATAAATGTAAAAATTGTATCTTTTAAAGATTTTACTTATTTGAAAGAGAGAGACAACAAACGGGGAGGAGAGGCAGAGGGAGGGAGAAGCAGGCTCCCCATTGAGCAAGGAGCCTGACACGGGGCTCGATCCCAGGACCCTGGGATCATGACCTGAGCCACCCAGGCGCCCCAAATGTAAAAATTATTAATGAAGTATTTTGCTTTTTTATTTCTGGACAGTCTGCAAATTCCAGTATATATTTTTACACTTACTTTACCACCTAGCCACATTTCAAGAGCCCGATACTGGTATGTAGCTACCGGCTACCATGCTGGATGATGCTCTAGAATCTTCTCCCATGCTCACACGTTGGTGTAGTTCAGCACTCAGGTAAACTATAGTCCATGGCCTAAATATTGCTTGTAGCCCTATTTTTGTATGGTCTAGAGGCTAAGAGTGGTTTTTGTTTTTAAAAGCTTGTAAAAAAAAAAAAAAAGAGGAATTTGTGACTCAGAGCATATGTGGCCTGCAAAACCTAAAATATTTATTATTTGGTTCTTGGTAGGCAAAGCCCTGGGTTTGGTGGAACGGAACGTGCTCAGCTGTGTTGATGCATTCAGATTCACCTCGTGTTTTGAGGGGCTTCACTTTAGCCACCTATGCCTACAAGAGACTGGAAGGATCGCTAGTGATCTCTGGCTTTTCTTTGTATAATTACTTTATTACTTTCTTCTCTTAGTCAACCTAGCCAAAGGCTTGTCAATTTTGATTTTTTCAAAGAACTAACTTTAATTCTTTGTACTTTTTTTTTTTTTTTTTAAGTAGGCTCCACGCCCAGCATGGAGCCCAACACAGGGCCTGAATTCATGACCCTGAGATCAAGACCTGAGCTGAGATCAAGAGTCGGATGCTCAACCAACTGAGCCACCCAGGTGCCCCTTTGTACCATTTTTCTATTCTCCATTTCATTTTTTCTCCACTCCAGTCCCTGTTACTTTCTTCCTTCTGCTAGCTTTTCCTGGTTTCCTATCTTTTCAAATGTAGGTGTTTACTGCTCTAAGTGTCCTTCTGAGCACTGCTTTCACGTCGTCCCACACGTAATTTTCGCTCCTCTTTTCTAGTTTCCTTGTGAGCTCTTCTTTGACCTGTTTGTCGTAGAGTGTGGTTTAATTTCCATACGATTTTCCTCTCCTTCTGTTGATTTCTAGTTTGATTCCATAGTGGGTGGAGTAGATGCTAGGATTCCAGTGCTTTTCAGTTTGTTGAGACTTGCTTTGCGGCCTAACATATGGTCTATCCTGGAAAATGTTCTCTGTGTGCTTTGTTGCTGGTGGTGCTGTGTCTGTTAGGTCTACTTGGGTCTGTAGTGTAGTCTTTTATTTTTTTGTTATTTTTAAATAGATTGATTTATGAGTATGTGAGCAGGGGGAGGGGCAGAGGGAGAATTTTTTTAAAAAAGATTTTAGTGGGGTGGTGGGGAAGCGCACCTGTGAGTGCACGAGCAAGGGAAGGCAGAGGGAGAGAGAATCCTTAAGCAGACTCCCTGCTCAGTGTGGAGCCTGATGTTGGGCTCAATCCCACAGCTCTTGAGATCATGACCTGAGCCAAAACCAATAGTCAGATGCTTAACCAACTGAGA